TTGCTCCTAGTAGTAAGGCCAGGAGCCCCTAGTAGCGTCCTTGTTCCGGTCTTTTAACTTGCCTGCATTGCAGCACGTCGGTCTCGCCAGTGCCGTGGCCAGGCTTTCAATCTAGGCCGGCTGGACATCCTGAACCCCAGCCGGCACTGACTCGGAGAGTGTTTGTGGAAAACAGTTAGTTCCTCCTAAGACATTTTCAGCCCTGTCCATTGTCAGCATTGGTGTGAATCCTGTTGCAACACCCCCGTCGCTGCAAATTTTGGATCACAAAGGCATTATAGTTGTTTTTGTAATCCTTATCGTTTCACCGTAACAAAACCATCAAATCATGCCACTGTGGGCGGCGTCACATGGGGTTCTCATTGTACTCAGAAAAGTATGGCGGGAAAGCCTGCAATTACCACAAGCATGCACCCGCAACAAGCCGTGTTGAGTTAAATGGAAGAGTTAAAAGTAATGACCGCGAATGACTGCGGCAGTGGGGCGCTGGATGGAAGTCGCCACAGATGACTGGTTGCAAGGCGCGTCGTATTCAGTGGAACTGACGGGCATTGCCCATAAGGATTGCTAGGGTTTGTACCAGTGTGTTTCTTGGTTGCTTTTCTGTAGTATTTGATGTAGGGCCTCGAGCATGGGATTTTTGATGTTCTATTTGCAACCAAGCGCGGGCACACACACCGCCTACATTTGGACAACTAGACTCAGTTGCGAGTTTGTAGCTGCCAGAAACGAGGAGCTTGTGGCCCGGCTTTGTGGCCAGTGAATATGCTAAGTTCTGAATGGAAGCCAAACAAATGAAACATACATCATGAAATGCAGTTTCTCAAGATACATAGAAGGTTGCACCTGAAGATGATGACGAGCAGGATGCAGAGGACCGTGAAATAGACTGAAACAGCTGCGGGCGCACTTGGCAGTTGGATGACATGAGTCCTGTAATGCCATCGGTGTCAAGCAATGGGGGATGTGGTTGTGGGCGCACATGGCTAGGACAAAAGAAAGACGGACTCACAGAAGAAATATTCCGGCGCACCCAGTGAGTCATCCTCCAGTTCCTGTGGATTGAGGTGACGATTCGTGCGCCATTTTTGATGAGAGATTTGCATGAAGTTTTTTCTTTTTAAAAGCCCGGTTAGGGTGGGGTAGGGGGTAGGCCGTCTTATCGCACTATTCATTTGGTTCCTAGGTCCTAGATGGGTGGAATCAGAGATTTGCCAGCCATGATGAGCATCCGTAGGGACTTTGTTTTGGCTTGATTGTTGCCAGGCGGTCAGCGGAGGAGACTTCCCCACAAAGTCCCTTCCCTAGCCCCTACAATCTTAGCCCACCGAGTTGGGAGAGAGAGAGAGAGATAGAGAGAGAGAGAGATAGAGAAGACGTAATCATTTCCCAGATCTTGAACGGCAAAGGTTCTGGATTCAAAAGGGGTACTGCGGCAAGCAGCCCTTTTGCAGATTGAGGTCCTACTTGCAGCGCTTCGACTCAACCTATGAGGCCCAATGGTGATCTGAAATACGGACTGTCCCTACTCCCCACATCCATTTTCGTCATTTTTGTTTTTTGAATGCTGGCTTCACCAGGCGCGAAACATCTCCAGATGAGAACTTGCAACAGCTGCAGAAGAAGATGGATGCGACCTTACATTGAACAAGTTGTGCAATTCACTGCATAAAGTACATCTTAGCAAAAAGAATAAACATTGCGATTCTTAAGTTTGTATAAGTAGTATTCGCGCTCGAAGATTATGATATGTGCTTTCATTATTTGACACGCCTTCTGTCTTCATGACAATCTGCAATTCCAGCCAGCTAGGTTCCGTTCACCTTCGCTGCAATCAATCTAATATTTGATGACATAGTATCGTAGAGACTGTAGAGAGGCATGTCACTCCTTTATCATGCGTTCACTCCTTCAGAATTGGGCACAGCCTTTCAGTATTGCATGATTGCCCTGGTCTCGACGTGAACCTCCCTCCGGAGTGATGCTCTGAGGCAGAAAAGGCAGCAAAGCGGCGAGAAGCGGAATCGAAAAAGAACCAGGTGCGGTGCTTTAGCATGCCTTCTTGGCAAAACCTCTATTTAAACAATTACTGGTTGCTGGAGCCAAAATGTTGCAGACCTGCTGTTCAATCAACCTCAATGATCGCAATTGCTTTGGGGTGACATCGCCACATGCGATTTGACGTTAAACATTGTTCAAGGGGGTGGTTTCACGACAACTGTGGCATGAGCCCTCCCGCATACGGTATTTCCTGCGCCTTTGGCATTTGATCGATTGCATTTCATTGTTGTGGCTGTGGGTCGGCACTCGATTCCTCGCCTTCGTCATCTATGTGCCCCCGCGCAACCTCGCCCAACCACTCATTTCTCTCCCACTCTCAAATGGACAACCATATCAGAGTTTAGGCCTGGCAATTGGAGTGTTTTAGTGGGGCCAATGCCATCATTGGCAGTGGCCTTGTATGCTTTGGAGGCCAAGTTTCGACGAGGCGTTGTGAATTTTGTCAGCCTGGCATGTTCCGAAATGCTATATATAAATATACTTTACAATTAATTCGTATGGCAAGGGTCAAGAGCTAAGCTGATGCTTGACCAGAGATTGTAACCACCATCTTGCAACCAAGCTGGTTGTGTTCATTGCATGCCGGGACGGAGGTCCGTCATACACTCCACATGAATAGTTGAAGAGCGTAATCAAGCATCCCGCTCTACAAAGACAAGTTCGAGAGAGAGAGAGAGAGGGAGAGAAGGGTTTAAGCATGCTTGAGTTGGAGAATTGGTAGATGAAAACAGGCAGTTACATCCAGCCACACCTGCAGCGGCCAGATGGACGGTCCTTGGATGACCTTGATATCAGTCTCTCTTACTGTCTCCATCTCAGATGTCAGGTTTCACATGCAAGTTGCCAGCATTGTCCATCGGCCCCGATCGCGAACCAATAGCTAATGAATGCTAATAGCTAATGTCTTGTATTGGTTTTAATGGAGAGAGATCAAACAAAGAAGGGACCTGATTGAAGGGATCCTTCCCACCCTTCCCTGTTTTTGACCATGTGATTGAAATTAGCACAATTTAGCCTCTAAATTCGTGCAGCAATTGCTGTTTTTCCTTCGCCAGCACTCCGCCGCCGTCTCAGGTTTGGGCCCTGATTGGTGATGACCTCCGCATCCTCACCACCAACCGGCCAGCTGATATTGTGCGCTTTCCTTAACAACTGGGGCATCCAAGAGGCAAATGCACCCAGTACAAACGACATTTCATGCGACTCCCTCGATTGTGGGCGTTGTTGGTTTGTAAAATCAGGGCAAGACTCTTAAGATCTTTGTTTAGGAGTTCTCGAACTTCACCTTGGCCGAACAAGAACACTTTGCATACTCAGCAAGACTTAGTACTTATTGAATCTTATTGAGCTCAGTGCTCTCATGGCCGCAGGCGGCCCAGAGCACATCGGGTCGGTTCATGTTTTGGAGTCTTTTAGTTGGCGAACGCAGCATAAAAGAGTTTGCTAGGTTGACAGCGTGCGCTCACCTGTTTTCCTCCAAGGTTTAATGTCGTCACCATCGTTTGCCTCAGCTTTTTCACTTTGGAGGCTGAAGAGGGAAGGGGTTCCTTTGCACAGACACAAGTAACCCAGGACAAACTCTGTTTATACAGGTGGTTTGTCAATTGAAAGAAACAATTACAATTTTACACAATGTGAAACACGATGTGTTACTCTTTCTACGTGATTTGTTTGCGATTACGAGTCTTGTTGCGGTAGGTTGTCCTTTCATCCTGGTGCAAGAAGGACGTGACATGACAAGTCTTCAGTTATTCGATGCTTGAAGGTCAAACAGATCGAATAAGTTTTTGCTCAATTTGTGTTCAAGATCCCTCATATCCCTTTTTCCAGCCTTCGACTCTTTCAAAGTTAATGAGTCGAATGGGATCAAAGTGTGCCAATGAACACTGATAATGAACCTCCAGTGCTGGAAGATATCACCATCAATCCGCCTAAGGGCCTAAAGGAGATGCCCAATATATATATATACATATATATATAATCCCTGCGGAATATCCTCTATAGAATCTGGGAGCTTGAGCTCAAAATGACCAATAGATTTTATAGACAATTTTCTTATAGAATCAAATATCAACCTATCTGAAAGGCCACCACATTTTAAACATGGGGTCCAAAAAAGTCAGCGTGTTCTCTCAAAATGGTTGCCGACACTTGATTCTATAGAGAGGGCACGCCATGTCACCAGAATTTATAGAGGTCCTCACATTTGATTCTATAGAAAGCATCTGGAGTAGTGGAAGGTTGAGAATTGTTTTTAGGGAAAGGGTCTCGGTTGTGACGCGTTTTTTTGTCTCGAATGTGACGCGGAGAGCTTTTCTCAGTTGTGACGCGGAGAGCTTTTCTTTTAGAGAATCTGTGTGCTTCTGGGCCCTTGCTTGGTTCTCATAAAGTCATAAAGCTCCAATCCAGCTCCACACCAATTCCACCCCCCC